ACACACACACACACACACACACACACACACACACACACACACACACACACACACACACACACACACACACACACACACACACACACACACACATATTCTACAAAGTGTAAGAAAATTCTATTTTAATAATTTTTTCATTTATGCATATATTTATAAATTTTGCAAATTTTAAACACACACATATATGTATGTGTTACGTTTTACAAACTAAAATTATTATATAAATTGCGTGATTTAACTAATACCAACAGAAGTCTGCTATTTTGCCTTTTTTCTTATGTTGAATATCTTTATTTTTACAAAGCGCTTTAAATGCCTGCAAGTTGCACGAGCTTCCGGAGAACATTTAAGGTCAATAAATAAATTGTAAATGTCAGCCATTTTTAACTTTACCATGCATTAAAGTGCAGTACACCGGCATTTTTTTCACTGCACTAAAATTAATGATGTCAGATGTCATGCCCTTTCTATCATATAATATTTCTGTCTTTCTCTTTTGATTTTCATTTTAAGTATATATGTTTAATATTTTTCTAAATTACCATTCTATTTTTGATTCAAAAATAATAAATAATTCACATTACTCATGTTTTGATCTCTGTAACTGATATTAATGCTAATTATATAATTTTTATGCAGGAGTTACGGACCAAGAGACCTTTCAAGATATGGGACAGCTGGCGTAACGTGAGGAAAGGACTGGTCGTTAGCAATTTTGAAGAGTTGATTGTTCGAGGTGAGAAAGATCTAAATCTAAGAAATTATTCATTTAAATTATAAGCAAAGACAATTAAAAATTAAAATGCATTATGCTACAAACTTATTATTAGACATTAAATTAAAAATACTTATTAGACATTAACTTGCTTCTTACACGTATATTATTATTAAAATAATTTGCATCTTTTTTAAAGGTATTACGCTTCCAAAATATCTAATTTAACAGAATAAATATTGTTGAAATAATAACTTATCATCTATCTATTGTTTCCTGTTGCAAATTAATAGTAACATGTTATACAATATGTAATATATTTATTTTTAAGATATTCAAGTTATTAAATCAAGTTATTAGTTACAAGAATCGCTTTTTTTCATAGAATATTTTTTCGAAATTGAAAAGATTCTTTTTTAAGACTTTAAACAAGGAGTAAATCACTGAGAAGCATTACTGTGTACAAATTTACTGAACATTATTGAGCATTACTTAAGAGAATTGTGTATTATATTAAGCGGTATGAGGCTATGCATTACTAGAACATTAAGGGGATCCTAAAGTCATCTGTATTATCGATCAAATATAATTTTTATATAACAATTACTTCTTTCCTTGTTTATAAATTTGAAAATCATTTTCCATTAAAACATATGCATTAATACGTGTCTGTGAGATGGAGTTTATGTCGAGAACGAAAAAAAATTGTTTAAATTAAGATCTTTACCATTTCTTAGTCCAATATGGCATTAGAGCTTAATAACAATAGCTTAATATTTGCTTGATATAAAAATTTTGTAATCTGTACTTACAAAATTGTCCATAAACAAATAGTTCGCATGAACAAACAACATTGAGTTTTTGGAATTAGACTTACAAGGAGAGACTCAGGAGAGATTATTTTTTGGTGCCCCAGAATAATCATGCAAAAGCTGATCAAAATCCATGAAATATTTATGTGAATCTCTCCTTGTTAGACACTTTATTGCAACGAATTTATTATATGAAAATTTACACGAACGTGCGACTGTGTGCATTATAGTTTGTGAGATATTGATGTGGCATTATATATAAGATATGTCGATGTGCTGTAAAACAGCGAGCTCTGGTGATTTCGTCGGAATTCGCTTCATTTTAGGATTTTCTAATGGGCATTACTAGAACATTAATGAGCATTACTAGAACATTAATGAGCATAAGGCATAAATGGGCATAAAATTTGGGCATTAGTGAGCATAAAATTTGAACATTACTTAAGCATTACTATAGGCATTAGTAAGCATTAGTAATCAACACAATTTTGTTGATCAACGGTTTATCTCTTGACTTTAAAAAAATCTCAGAAAGACTTTAGAAGATGTTAGACTCATTGTAAAAAATCGATATGTATTATACTCTTATAACTTTTGTAAGCGTCATACGCATTGTCCTTCCGGAGCACTCTCTTTCCACCTGTCCGGCTGACCGACGAAGAAATATTTCCGGTCGGAAATATTTCCGCGCGGCGTATCACAGCACGGAATTGCATTATCTGTAAAGTTCCTTTGAAAGTGTCGCTCTCGCAACACACATTTCTCGCAACATTTCTCAGAAACAAAGCGCCGTTCGTTCATTCGTTCGTTCGTTCGAGGACGCACCACCATTATTCGCAACTGCTTCATTCACACGATTAAACAGTACATGCGACACGTGGCACACGCATATGCACACTCACTCAGGAATATATAACATACGCGTACGCACACACCCACACATTGTCGTTAAAGCGTTATCACTATGCCTGAACACTATCTGACACCCCAACCCTCGGCCAACCCTTGCTTTCAGGTAAGGAAAAGCTGGGTGTACCACAAAACGAGAATGTCTCGCTAGTTTTGGAGTCGGACGGCACGCAAGTCGAGGACGGCGAGTACTTCAAAACACTAGGAAACAACACGATCCTGCTCTTATTGCGGCATGGTGAACGCTGGTGTCCTACTGGCGTCGACATCATACGCGCTGGTAGGTGAAAAGGACATTACACAGATCGATCTTAGGAGAAATCGGCAACTTGGTTGAGAAAGTTAAGGTTGAAACAACACAGATGACAGAAAATTCAAAGACATCTAAAGAAAACGCGAAAATATGTAAAGAATTTAAAAGAATTGAATTTAAAAGATCGGGATAATTACAGTATTACATTTAGACATATATATATATATATATATATATATATATATATATATATATATATATATTGGGTTATCTATAAAATTCGTGACGACTAACTTATATAATTTAATAAATGTATAAATCTTCTGCGTTTCAATTTTCCTTCAACATCGGCACGAACTTTCCGGACAACCCAATATATATATAGTAAATTAAATTAATTGAATCATTTCTCTCTCTCTCTCTCTCTCTCTCTCTCTCTCTCTCTCTCTCTTTCTCTCTCTTTCACACACACACATAAAAATTAAATTCTTTCAGAGACCTTTAAATCAACCAAGTAGCTTTTCTTCTGCTCTTAAATGTTTCGACTTTCTAGATTTTTGAATCCTCGAATATATAGCTTCTTTAGAATCATACGCACTGCTATGTAAAGGGGATATTACAACGATCAACTTTGGTTGATGGAAATCGACAACTTGGTTGAGGAAACTAATCTCGAAGCAACTGATAAAATTGAAACTGATCAAACTGAATTACATGTGGATCAAACTGAATCCTTACACACACACAAGCCTTTAAACGATCAACCAAGTAGGTTTTCTTCTATTCTTAAGCTCTCTTTAGATGTTTTGGATTTTTAAAACAATCTTTATCACCCGAAATCTCTTTAGACTTTTAAATCTGTAAGTTTTTTGACTTCCTTATAAGATCTGTGGATCTCGCACTTTTGCGATGGATCACCGGCACTGATTGTCACGCCTTGCAGCACCGAACACTACCCGGCCCGTATCTCCTGCAGCCGCGTTCATCGATAATTGATAACTCTTTTTTTCTTTCTCTTTTTCAGCAATTTCGGCGATCCCGAAAATAGTCTGTGAAACGATCCACGCGCTGGAATTGCACGATGAGACGCCATCGTGGAAAATCATGGACAATAAAGGCCGAGTCACAGTGGTATTACACTGGGACCAGCGCTCGTCGTCGTCATCGCAGGTGCAGCAACAGCAATCAAAGGCAGGTCAGGATGCCCAGACTTCCAAGTATTCACCGACTAAGAAAGCTGACCTGAGTGGCGCCCAGCGGCCGTCCTTGGTGATCCAAACCAGTTTGGACAAACTCAGCTATGATGGCAAGACAACGCACTTGCCTGGCGAGATCGCCCCGACGCGGTACACCAGTCCGCGAATCACTGTGATAAATCATGACGATATGGTATATTCAATCTGCAATTACTTCAAGAATTTTAGCTTTAAATTTTAATTTAATTATACAAATTTCTGTGCTTATCGCAGAATCTACAATTGATGGGACCAGTGCGATAGTAATACCTATAATACATTTTCTTGAAATTCTAAAAAAAACTAATTCGTTCGTGTTTTTAAGAAAATAAATTAGTTCAATATTGCACTGAACTTTTCAATCTCAACAATAATTAATCCAAGCGCTTAATTTATAGCTATAAATTGCAGTCTCATATCAATCACAATTTGTTAAATTCAATCAAAATGTAAATTATCTATGATTAAAAAGGTCAATAATTTTTTATGTTAATTCATTAAAATTTGTAAGAAAATGAATTAGTTTACTATTACATTATCTAATTCTTTGATTTCGATCGTGTGCATGCATGTGTGCGTGCGTGCCTGTATGTGCGCGTTGTTTGTCTTATTTTTAAAATATTAATACATATTGTAAAACAAATAACTTTTTACCTCGCTGTAAATTCATCTTTATCCTAGCAGCAGCAGCCGATGCAGTCGCATATACCGGGCCGTCTAGTGAAACAAGGCACGAATTCATTCGACAGTACAACCATCCACATCCACACACCTGAATGCTCCAACCACATTCATCAGCCGGTCGCGCGAAATGGCAGTCCCGTGAATGGTGCCGACGGTGGTGCCATCGGCGAGTGCGACTTCCACTGCTGCGCTCTTCACGAGGAGGGTCGCAGGATCGCTGTACACAAATCGGTGGCAACATCGCCGATCCAGGACGCACAGCATGCGCAATATCAACATCCACATCATCCACATCAACAACAGCAAACGCAAACACAAACACCGTCGCCACAGCCGCCATCCTCTCTTTCGGATGGCACCAAGCGACCTGGCCTGAGCAAAGGTCATGTTCGCTTTCGCGATACCGCCGACGAGGAATCAAGCTCACGTCTGGCCGGTGCTGTTACCCATTTTCACTTACATCATAATCATCATCATCAAGAACATGACAGTTCCGAGTCCGAAACGGAAAATACAATGATGGAGGATGAATTCGTGACTTCGGAAAAATTTCTACTACTAATCGATCAGCTGACGGTCGATCAGAAGCATCATCTTAGCATCAAGGACATTGGCATCATATTGGAGCGACTCAGCTCTAAAATCCTCGACGTCGAGCGGCTGGATCGCGAAAGCGAGAGCGAGGAGTGCTATAATTGGACGATTAAGGCGCTTATACGGGGCGATGTCCTACGGGAGCTCGGTGTGATCTACAATGGGAATTATTATGCAATCTCGGAACATCCTGGCTACAAAGAAGAGTCAGAAGAAAATAATGAGGACAACGAGGAGGAAGAGGAAGACAGACTTTAATATGATGCTGTTTTACTAGATAGATAGATAGATTATACACCTATTCCAGGTTATTATTAAATTAGGCACATTGCAAACGGAAATAAGGACAAAGATCCCATATGGCACAGATCTCCAAGAGATGTTCTGAAGGATGTCCTGAGAACATTCCAACGTCCTGAGAAAACGTTCCTAGGAAAATCTTTGGGATAAAGTGTGCTGTATGGGATAACACGTAGTATCTTCATTGACTCCGAGGATTTTTTGAAAATTAATTCAATCCAATTTTTTAATGATTTTTTTTTAGAATCTATAGCATTTTCTAAAATTTTCTTAGGATCTCTGTGATCCTTTAAGAATTCCCAGTGAGCTTGGGTTTTTCTTTTCTAGAGAAACTTTCTAATGTTAAAAGATCAGTTTTGTGCCAAATATATGAAAGTTCTACAGAATTAATTGTTTAAGGTTTGATGAACTTAGGCTTTTTTAGATTAAGTCTTCTAAAACTTCTCAGGATACTCTTAGAATTTTTTAAACTTTCAGAATTCCTCCCTTAGGATTTCCTAGAATTTTTTAGATTTCCAATATTACAGTCCTTTAAAATCTTAAGATTCTCTGTAAGTTTCTGTGTACGTTTAGAATTTATAATGCTAATCTTACAAGTTTCAAGAAGTCTCTAAAAATTTTTCAATTCTAGATATAGATCCAGAATATCTTTTTTATTTTTGATTCAGGATGTTTCTTAAAAAAGTATTTGGCTCTAAAATTCTCGGAAGAAAATTTCAAAGGAGAATGTTAAATTAGGGCTAAAATGAAAAATGTTTCTTGGCTAAAATGAAAAAGTTCCAAGATGTGCAAATTATATATCATATTAAAGCTACTTAAGTAGAGTTGAATGGTATATTGTTTATCTTAAGGAAATATCGAACAGAAATCATATCAAAGATAATAAAATTAAAAATTCATAAATAAGATATCAATATATTTCGCGAATTAAGCAACAAAAACTATTATTATTTAAACATGGTAAGCATTTGTTATTCAAAACTAAAATCCGAAACCAAACAATTATTTTATATTGGACTCTTTATCGTTCGTCAATTGCTTGAAAATTCTCTAAATTATATATTAAAATGCAGTATATTTGCTGACATGTTGCAGCAACTAATTTCGACAAACTCAGGACAAGGTAAGACAGCATTATGTTTATCGTATTGAACTCAATGGAATTCGAATTCTTGCGATGACAAATTGATGGCATGAATATCCTTGATAACAACTCGTGTTGTCAGCATTTTGTTAGCAACGAGTTCAAAATGAAACGATTAATTATTCGTTGCTAACATGTTGCTGTCATGTTGCCGACAATAACATAATGTACCATTGCTCACGGTTTGCTCTAGAAATTTCAATAACTAATTACATGTATAAACGGTCATGTTGTTTAATTTATAATATCTTGATGTCAGCAAATGTACAGCAAATATATGTATAATGCAACATATGCAATGCATTAGTTTGCACAATATGCTATATCACGCTTAGCTGTCTTGGAATATTATGAAGTAGTATTAAAGTGTTAAGAAATAATAGTTGTGATTGGAATGTCTTCGATAACACTGACATTAGTGCTAGCTCTTGCAAAACCCTCAAAACTAAATCACATTCTTAATAAATGTGATAACATTAGTTTTATTGACTTTTTATCACGATTTCTCATGTACCCGATATTTTCACAAGATAATCGATTCATTCGACTTTGCTTAAATAGTTCTTTAATATGATATATAATATGATATATAATTTGTTGTTCGGAACTTTTTCATTTTAGTCCTAACTTAACACCCTCTTTTATAGATTCTCGCTCGTAGATTGATGCTTTTTTAATTATTTTTTATCTTAATCTTCTTGAATTGCAATTTATTCATAATCTTGGATTTTTTAATTATTGTATCTTAGAATTCTCTAAATATCATAAAATATCTTAGACTCTAAATTATAATTCTAAATTCTTTAAATCCTTAGATTTCAGGTATCTTAAATCGAACAGACTTCAATTCTAAATATCTATAATTCTAGATGCTTTAAATTTTGAATATTATAAATTCTAAGTTAAAAAAACTTCTGAAATCTAAATTTAAAATTTAAATAATATTTTTCACAATAAATCTTTTACAATGTTTTGAAATATTTATTAGCATTATTTGTTAAATTGAATCAATTTAAATTGTAATATTATTCAAGCTTTAGTTTTATGATTACGTTTCAAGTCCGATCAGTAATCTGTTCATAAAACTGGAAAATGTATTTAAAATTGGCATATTTAGAATTATTATTAGGCACCAAGATCTGACCAGTATTTAACGATTTTCTACTTATTTGTACTAAAATTTTAGAGCATAAGATTCGTTATGAATTCTTTTTTTTTCAATCCTGTCGCACTTCCTATTCTTTAGGATTGCATTATTTTTAGAATTGCTCTTAGAGGAATTGGAATAAAAATATATGTCATAGGACATCATAGAGAAGAATCTTGACTATCAAGATAACAAAAAGAAAAGAACATTTTAATTTAATATTTATTAGAAAAATAAATAGATATATAGATTATAATTAAAAATCTTTCATTTTTGTTTTCACATTTATACCCTTTTGTGTATTATATATATAATATTAATTTTCGAATTGAGGAAATATGAAATAAACGTTGTCAAGTTTTACGAAATATTGTGCCAAATTTTTAATTGTTATAATGACTGTATCTTACAAGCAATCCAAAGATCGACAACTGTTTCGAAATTCATGAAATCCTCGGATCAAAGATGAGATCCACGAAAAAGCGAAAATTGAGCGACGTAGGCGAATTATATCTGCGTCACGAGGAAGAATTTAATTCGAATTTGAAAAACAACAGAAGATAGATCGACAAGGATAGATCACCATTTCTTCCGAAGTGTGTTTCTTAATAAGAAAAAAAAAGAAGAAAACAAAGTAGGGAAAAAAGAGGATCACAACGTAATGAAATCATGATATGAAATATGATATAATATACAATTTTATTAAAAATCTAGTTCTATATAAAGACGTTTGTTGAAATACGTATTTATTAAAATTAGCATGTATACTTGTAGGAAACATTTTTGGGATTACGGACGTCGATTCCGTAACCGTCCACAACACTGCCGTTAAAAAAGAAAAAAATAAGAGGATGGAAATGTGAGTGATAGATAGAGGAAGAGGGAGAGGAAAGAGAATGAACTAAAGAGAACATAAATATATACAATGCGTAACAATTCTTTTCGACACAAGTCTCGGCTAAACTCGATGAGATGATTCTCTTTTTTTTTGTTTGCGAGGCATAAATGGCTAATCCTTTATTGCAGGTTTTGAATGCAGTTTACATAAATTTTACTTGATACTACTAATCTTGATTAAAAATGATTTTTAATTTATATCAATTCAAATATTTTAGGATAATTTATAGATCGACAGATAAAATCCTAAAATGACTTTTGAACTTCAACTATTGAATTCTTTAAATTCTTATTGTAGATTTTCAGATTATAACTTTTCTCAGTATTAATTTTCTTGGGTGGGTTAGAGATATTTAAAAATATATTAACAGATATTTAAAATTTTAAAAATTATAATTCAAATAATTTTAAAATAATTAACAATGTAGCAAATATAAATAATTTGTCGTACCGTTAATATCATTATAAACAATATACAAGTGTTTTGCAATAAAGGATTAATTAATATTTTTAATATAGCCGTAATCGAGGATGAAAATTTTGCGAAGATGTGAGATCGATCGTCGTCGTCAGAAACGATCGATAATAATCGAACAACGGATGAATAACACATATGGCGAGTATTAATACATATGTATTAATATAGATCGCCATAGAATGCTCATTATCAATATTAAATATTAATAAATGTCGCGTGGCTGCCTTCAATTCATCGAACATCGCGTACGAACACAAACCGCGCGAAGATCGACGTCAAAACCAACAAAGCGACGCGATAACAATGAGAGTGAAGAATGAAGTTGTTTGTTTCTCGCCGACGTAAATTCTTTTTGTAGATTTGTGAAACATGTTCTCATAGCCTAAGATCCTTGGATCTTCGGATTCTCCGATCTTCGATCACTTAGGTTACTAGATTCCTTGGATCTAATTTTTTATGTAAGTTATCTAGATAACTAATTCTTTTTAATAATATGGATTAATCAATATTACGAGTTTAGTTTTTAAAAATTCAATTTTTTAATTCTTAGTTCCTTGAATTTTTTAAATTAAAGAAATTTTAGAATATATTTAAAATATTTTAAAATATTTTAAAATATTTTAGTTTACTTAATTGTTGAATTATTATTAATTCTTTCTTAATCCATTTTTTATGTTGGGTATTAATTCTTCTTTAGTGGAATCTAGTACCCACTTTATTTATTTTAGCTCATCACAACTACGATTCTCGGACTGGATCTGCGAATGAAAGTTATTCAAAGTGGAGTATACAGGCAGCATCGCTCAAAGTTTTCTACTTCTTCCTTAGAACGAAATTAGTGCGTGATTATATACATAATTTCTTCTTATACTTGATTATTTTAGAGAAACATTGCAAATATCGCAAACATTGCAAATATTAAATTGCAATGGAAAATTTTTTATTGTATTTTATTTCCTTTCGTTTAAATGTATGACAAAAAATATGTGACAAGGAATTTTTTTTATATTTTTACTATAAAAATTTGTTTATACTTTTGTATTTTGTTTAAGGAGTATTTAAATATCGAATTTTTTTATGAGGAAGTTGAAAGTTTTGAACGATACTTAAAAAATACATATGCTTATACATATATGAGCGTGTAACAGTATAAACATAGTCTGAATCATTCGGAATTTACGTTAGCGAATGTATCACATGATTATAAGTGATATATCGATTCATGTTGAAAATACGCTCTATATGAAACTTTGCAATTTTAATATATTTCTATTGTAAGTATACTCAAAAAA